CAGGATAATACATGAAACACAGGGATATTCAATGAATTCTATTTGTGTAATAAAATAATCATGTTGCTTAAATATTTGTATAGTTTAAAACTTTGCACAATTTATTGCAAATGTGAGAGCCCTGTAATTACTTAAATCAAATTAGACTAGTAGAATGCATTTATGTCAGCTTGGAGTTGTCATGCTCACTCAAAGATCTCATTGGCGGTGGCACGTGCATTGGATCGCTCGATTCCCTACAAAATGGTTGAGTTGGGCGGTGCTGGGGTACATGAAATGTTCGTGAACGGGCACCATCAATTGGGACTGGTCAGCTCCAGACTATGTCATTTTATTATCCTCAAGGTTATTTTCTTTTTCAATCTCTTTGACTGGATTTAGGTGTTGCATTGTTCTCACACAATCGAACTAATAAAACTATGTAACTAGAGAATTGTATTGTAAACCTAATTGAAAAAGAGTAACCTATGGAGTTTCTTACTCGTTCTTCTCCATAGGAGTCTACACCTTGGAATGAGCAACTAGCTTCACTTCTAAATTTTTGTGGTTGACTTTCAAAAGTGCCATCCTGGTCTAATTGAAATAAATGATTTTGACTTTGACTTTGACTATATTTAAGAAATCCTCCTAGTATTTTAAATACGGAACTTTGTATATTTGTATGTAACTTAATCACGTCTGAGCTGGCTGAGGGGATCGGGTTGAAATTTAGAATAGGGGTAGATAATGGTCTGAATTAATACATTGATTATTTTTTATCCCACAATAACGTGGGCAAAGCCGTTGGCAGAAGCTAGTATTACATAAATAACAATTTACTAATATAGATATATATTTTCCGAGAAATCGTTGAGTTTGTGATTTATTTGGACTTTGGAACAAACAAAGGTTTGTCAGAAGATACATATACTTAGGTACATACATACATACGTAGATATGTAGAGTAGCTGTTTATTTGTCCTTGCGTTCTCTGGCTGCGTCAGCAAAACAGTTGCAAATTCTCCACGCATTGTTATATTTAACTTCAGATTGTTTTCTTTCCTTGACTGAGATATTGACGGATCTCCAACCTGTTCACTAAGCGTGGAGATTATGGCAAACTCTTAATTCTTATGTAGAGGAGACATAGGTATACATGAAGATGTTGATTGAAATATTTGGAAGCGATTGCAAGTGCGACTGAGTGCAGATCTTGCCTCGGTTTGCGTTTGATTTTGATCCGGCAGTGGTTGTTTCGATTCATTCATAGATTGTATAATTCTGAACGATACTTTTAGGTGTTTAGTAGTCTTATCCTTATAATTAAAGGAACAACCTAACGTGAAATAGCAGGTGAAGGTCCCCACCATCTACAATAGGTATGTACTTAGGTATACTTTCATTTACTTTGTGGGATAAAAGATATGGTGTATGGTGTAATGTCATATAGTAAATGTGTATATATATAAGATATTTTTATTAAGTCCATACCTTTCTAAGATAAGATTTCTAAGATACTATTACTTTTTAAACTTCGTTTAAAAAACCGACTTCAACCCCCTCTTGTTTTCTACACGGTTTAAACTGTCAAACACCAAGCGGTCCCCGGTGACCGCGACCTATTGTTCTTTAATTGTGTCTATAAAACCGGTACTCGACGAGTTAATATACTAAAACCTTCTCCTACGTGTAACAAATACTTTTCTGGAAACCGCAACAAAATCGGTTTAGTTAATCGCGCACAAACGGCCATGTCATCATACTTCAAGCTAAAAACCTCCTTTTTGGTAAAAAAAAAAACAACATTTATATCAATTTTGTTAGGTTTTTTTATTTATTTTTTTAATGGGGGAATCATCGAAAGACTTGTCTCGCCTGGGCGAGGCGAGAGGGAGTGTCAGACTCTTACTGACTAAAAACCACCCCGTTCCTACTCCTGCACTTCGAGCTGGAGCCCCTGTAACCCGTTAAATTCTCCGCGGTTTCGTATCGGCATTAGCCCTATTGGACCCCATCTATGGTGGTCTGATCACTCTTTGAAGCGCGCGCGGAACGCGAGGCGAAGCACGCTCGGATGTCAATTTTGTTAGGTTTAGGGATCATTAACTACTATTTTTAATCGTGGAATAAAACATTAGCGTACTAATGTTATCCTACATCGACACGAGGGTGTTTTTTCGAGAGTACGTGATGTGCAAATGTAATATATGCATGAGTTGTATGTTGTACGATAGAGAAGGTAATCGTAATAAAGGAACTAATTAAAAAGAAAAGAATCAGATTATGTGTTTTATTAATTCCTTACATTCATTTATTATGACATTTATTTATCAGATTGTTCACGAGACTGAGACGTCTTCTGTTTCCAGTATAGCGTGATTCTGATATGAAGGTTAAATAATTGAATATATTAATGTCAACTGTAATTACGATAAACATGGCTGTTTATAATCTTAGGTCATAATTAAAACACGTCATTTGCGCCCTATATTTCAACAATACGATATGGAAATTAGAAGTAGCGCTCAAAACTTTTTTTTATAGGTTTTACTATCTCTATGTTGTAGAAAAAAAAAATTAAAAGCTAAGTACGGTGACCCCTTACCATTATCCCTTCCCGTGAGGGTAACTTAAATACACTTGCATCTGAGTTCTCACCGTTACGTGACTGACCGTATGGGGAACTGTTTGAACACACCACAGAACATAACATCACACCTTTTATCCCCGAAGGGGTAGGCAGAAGTGCACATTATGCCACTGTACAATGTAACACCCACTTTTCACTATTTATGTTATGTGTCCCATGTAATAGGGGGTGAGCCTATTGCCATATACCGGGCATAATTCCCGACTCCATGCTACTACTGAGAATTTTTGAAAAACCTAGTAATACTTTGCCCGACCCCGGAATTGAACCCGAGACTCCTTGCCCGGCACTCGCACTTGCGACCACTCGGCCGTCGAGGCAGGCAGAGGCAGAGAAACTGTTTCATTGGGTCATATTATGTCCTATTAATAAAGGTAACCTCAAATGATTTGATAGCTAACATTAATACTTAAATAATAGTTTTTTTTATAATATTATAGATTAATTCTCCACGGACTCTAGGCCCGTGCCCTTGTCATACAATTTTTTTTATTATAATACATCTTGTCAATTGTAAATAATAGTTTGTAGTCTAACTTTATGCTAAGTTACGTCACTTATGTAACTTTTTACGATGTTCTACAACATTGAAATACAAAGTCGCTACCAGTGGCTACTATTGAAATGAATATTTAGTTTATCCAGAATTGAGTTTACGATCGGCGATTTGAAAGCAAGGAAATCACCTTTTTATGGAATTCAAAAAAAAAGGAGGTACTATGTTCGGATGATTTTTTTTTATTTGCAGTGTTTTAAAATATGAAACACCTTTTAGGCTATTCTGTAAGATGTCAATTTAAACTGTCGAAGTGAGCTTGATTGCATTCTCGCTCGTCATTGGTCGAGATTATTCTTACAACCAATGACATGCCGAACCGCGATCGAGCTCACTTTTAAATTTCGAATTGACATCTCACAGAATATCCTAAGTTAATTATAATACGTCCATATATCCTAGTTGTTTATTTATCGTTGTAATAGATGCATTTGTTTTTAAAATGTATTTGTGTTTATGGAAAAATACTTCAAAATGACTAAAGAAAATAAATCATTGTGTTTTTGTTGTAAACAGATCTTAGTTTCAAAAGGTATTTTGAATCGTATAGAGATAGTAACAAGTCGTAAACATATTTACATTTGTCATTACATTTATCATAGTTTATTTTAGTAACACTAAGAGCAACAAGATAATTAAAGACCTAATTAAATTCTTCCATGATTGGCAACGCGCAAGTGATACCTCTGATGTTGCACGTCCATATTGGCCATGCATGGTGACCATTTACCATCACGTGGCAGCTTTGTTACCACTAAGTTTAACAAATTATTTTAAAATATCCTTTCATCATCAACAACAGCCTGTACTTAAATGTCCACCACTGCTGGGCTCCTCTATAAAGAGACTTTGCCATAATATCCAGGGTTAATCAAAGAACGCTTTAGAATTATTAATTAAAGGACGCTGTCCAGTCTCCGTTAAATAATACCAATATTATAAATGCGAAAATTGGTGAGGATGTTTGTGTTTGCTACTCTTTCACGTCAAAAAGGGTGCAGGGAACGAGATGAACTGTGGAATATGGGTTCATTATGTGCTGGTATAAGACATACGCAACTTTTATTCCAAGGGAAAGCGGGCAAAGCCGCTGGCAGAAGATAATACCAATTTAGTCTCTAATTCAGCTGTTACGAGAGAACAGAGGGGTGGTGACAGATATATGTTTTTGTCCGCTGTCACCACCCGGCACGGTGGGTCAAATCTGCTTCGCGTCAACCATAAACTTTACTTATGCAGTAATGTAATGAGTGTCAGCTAAAATTAGCCTTTTTATGTTTTATCACGAGAAGTAATTATCTACCACAAGGCTGTGTTAAGTAGTCAGTGATCATCGAATACTAAACACTTTACTGAGTATTTCAAGGGATTCATTTCTCACATTATTTTGTTGAAAGTTACGGTTATTGGTTGAAATTCGATCGAAATACGGCTCCATTAGTATGGACGTTTGACGCTTTAGTTCTTAACAACGCACGAAGCACCTTAATCAGTGTTAAAGTCTTTTGAAAATTATGTGTGACACGGTATTGTCGTGAGTGTTCAAGGGAAATCGCTTTAGTCACAATTGTTGTCTCTTTTATATTTATCTTGTACACGTGAGAGAATATTTGTGAACTTCCAACGTTTTATCAATTATTTTTGGAACTTCCTCGTTGTGAATAAGATTTTAGTTTATGTGCCTACAACACCGGAGTTAGTATTTGTATTTTTAACACTTTCTATTAAAATAAATTGGTTTCACCTCCAATAAAATGTTTCGATTAAATGGAGCTAAGATAGATTATAATCACTAAACACCAAATTACACAGATGGTAGCTGTCTCTGTCTGTAGCGTGTAGCATAGTAAACAACATCAGCATACAATGTGAACTAATAGTCCGATTTCTAAACACTGGCGCTAGAAATTGTTAGCGTTTCTAAGTATTCACAGTAATCTAAATTCCAGCCTAAGTATTGGGTGCGGTAGACGGACTCGACGAGAATTTTTTGCTCAACTTTAAAAGCGTGAAAGGAATCCTTTGGCGCCATTAGAGTTACCCGCATCGTGTATTGGAAACACCGGTTAGATAATTCCTTTGAAACGAGTCTTCAATCATCGCACCTCGACGTATTTATTTTTTAACGCCCGCGAATATACAAGTGTGGTTGGTTTAGCGGCATTCAGCCAGTCACCGCTCAGACAACACACGGTAGACATTCGCGTCGCGCGCAAGCGAACAGTTTTCCCGCCGCAAATTGAAAAGCGCACGTTCTGAATTCAAGTTCCTCGCCAGCTATTGGTGCAGTTTAAATAATGCCTAAAAAGAAATAGTATTAATACTTTGCTTTAATTTATTAACTGGATCACGTGTGAAGTTGTGACTTTAAGAACCACATGCTTACAGTGTCTACGTTATCGCGTACAAAAATCCTGTGATATTATTTTGCTGTGAAACTTAGTTATAAAAACTCTAGTGGAACAAAACTCTAAATAATTTGACATTTACGGTTTCGTGAAATTGTATTTCGCGAAACAATAAACAAAAATTCTTTATGATAGGTCCATATATGAAGGTGAGTTTTTACATTATTTATTTTATGTTAGAAGTACTTTTGTATAAGTTTTTCATTATACATGTACCTAAGTGTTCAAGGTTCGGTACGAGGTCTCTGAAACATTTGTTTCATGTGTAAGTAATACGTAGATTGTTATTGGTTGTTTTATAGAAAAACAAACAAGTAGATACCACTTCGAATATTGTTTCGATAAGTTAACAATACTTAGAGTACCTGAATTTAGTAACAGGGCGCTAATTGCCTCCGTTTCATCCAAATATATATCAAAAGGCCACATAGATAAACAAGATCTTTCTCTACATTGCAATTTTCATTCAGTATTTAGGAGAATGACGAAGTCTTGGTAGGATTCAAGTGTTTAACTATTTATAATATCTGGAATGAGCACGTTAGCTAACCTCAAACTGGTTACAAGTACCTTTATTCAATGAAACTTATGGCATTGAACGTTATTGGGACGCTCATTGATAACAATAAATTGAAACTCAACAACAAAATAAAAGTACAACAACCATTTTATTGAAAACACGTGAACCGATTAATGATTTGCAATTTTGTTATTGTTTTGATGCAATCAAGACTACAAAACAAGGGAATAAAGTCGATTTTCGATATTAGCGAATAGGTTGTAAGAAAAAACTGTAAAACGAGTAAACATCGTTTCATTTACGCTTAGTCAGAATTAATAAAGAAAATATATCATATTATAAGCAAAGTTTATAACTCTATGATATAAAAATATTGGTAGTGCTAATGTTAATAACAATGAATGAATTTATCTAAAAATATAGCAATATCTGTCAAAGGCCTCTAAGTCTTAAACGCTATAATAATTCCGTAACCATCATCTGTAGGTACACTTAGTTGCAATAAACGCTTTGACTTTGACTATTAATTTGCTCACGATCGAACTAGCAGTTTCAGAGTTTAGCTCGACAAAACAAAACCAAAAAAAAATCTCTTTAACTATAAATCTGATGATTGTTTTAGAAATGATTCATACTTCATCAAAGTTACTTACCTATATCCGAAGCATATACGCGTGTGTAACGTAAATTTACGTTTTCTTATAATTTTATGTATCCTGCAATATGATGAGTAATATTCGGATTATTCATAGAAATATATACGAATCAGAAAGTCTAATATTCTTGAACCAGCTGACTTTATTTTGTTTCGGTGTATGTGTACTTAAGACACGGTTACTATGCGTGATTTTAAATTCGACAGTTGTTCATTATGAATTGTTTAATAGCGATAGACCAATTTAAATATATATATGTTTTTTTACTTTCTTGTATACAGTACGTACTTAAATGAATTCGATATTACTACGTTCTGTTTTTATTTTCGTAAACATGGGTTCAAAAATGTTTTATAATTGTTTATTTGTATTAATTTATGTTGTTCGCCTATGATTATTGATGTTTTTCAAAATAATATTTAAATGTTTAATATTTAAATATGTAACACCCAGTAATTATAATACTTCGTTTTGACTACATATTATACTTAGTACTTATCTAATATCTGACATAATTTCTAAAAATATGCATAGTAAGTGCTAAAGCTTGTTTAATTTTACATCAATCATCCGTAGCTATAGTACAGCAGATAACAGAAATCCTTATCTGACCCATTTAGATGTCAAATCGAGCACAATTAGCACGACACGAGTATTGAACCCAGGTATAAAAGCTTTACGCTTATCAGTCACAAAGTAACAAAGGTAAATTAATATATAGGTTATTTTGAATGGTGTAAGGTTTAATTTGCAGTTTTATATAAAATATTAGAGAACTGTATTTTAATGCATGTTACGTATTATTGGTAAATGAAATACTTTTGTTTATGTTTGTTTGTGATTTTATTTGTTATACAGTTAGCATTTTATTCTTATCTTATTCTGCTTGTTAATCCACCGTACTATAGTACGCAATAGACTTGAATAATTACGCATTTTGTTCAACAATATACATTTACATAGAGTATGGGATTGTTTACTACGTCGCTGTTATGTTGTAAAAATACAATTTTCATCAAATTAAACTTAAAAATACAACTAGTTAATTAAAAATCTTGTGCAATAACGACGTCTATGTATTAAAATATTCAAATTAAATAGTGACACATAATACAATTAGAAAATACTCGGAGATTTTCCAAGACAGCGTAAGAAGTAAACGACTGAATGTCGTCAAGATTTCCGATAAATGAATATCATTGTATCACGTTCAATATATAAAAAAAAAAAAACAAAAAAAAAGAATAACTTAAACGTCAAAGCCTTCAAGATGAGAATCATTGAGAAAAAAGGCGTTAGATAGGTACTTACCTACTTTTTATGTAATGATGAATGATGATTCATCGTTTATATAGGTACATCGAAATTCACAGAGTTGATTCTATATACGCGTTCACAGTACACAATGGGGCTATTTATTTTTATAGCCCAAAAAATCTAATCTAAAATCAACGTTATTTTCTTCAGAGTAGCGATAAAAATTGTTTACCAAGGTTTTTATATAAGGATATTATTGGTAGTCCCCTTGCGTACAGCAAAGGCCTTTGGCTGTATATTGCGATTGTCTTTTGCATCGAAATATATGTCAATATTGGCGAATCAGGAAATGATATGCGAGGAATGAAGTATACAGCAGGTAATTTGAAAGTGGAATGAATAACTGTATTGCATTCTTAAAAGCGGTACCGATGTCTTAAGCATGTATTACAAGATACATAATATGTATATTGGCTAGTATATAGGTACTTAGGTAGTTTTTATGTTTGACAATCATAGCATTGACTTGATTGTTGTCACCAGCCAGCTCCTATTTGTGCATAGCTCAGTAGTAAAACGATTTTAATTGACAAAATATTAAAAAATAATCACACTTTCATTGGTTGAATGTATGACCAACTTAATTTTAATATTTTTCCAGCAATTTTTCAAGAAATAAGTATGGTGCTTGACGCGTGACGTCACAATTCACAATCTCGTACAACGTTCATAGAAAACTGTCGTTTTTGACAGTTCGAAAAAAGTATTGATTTTGACTAGTTGGCAAGTAACTACCCAATTATGCACAATGATTAATTCTACGATTACATAGAACAAACATCTTTTCTTGCACTTGCAGGAAAAATTAAAAAAAAACCAATGAAAGCTTGAGGCAGCACTTTATTATATTTTTACGAAGACAGCATTTTTGCGAGTTGCAAATTCCATTGTTTTATTTGCAAAATAACACGTTTGGGTAAATAAACCGGATGGAAACACAGCAAATGTTAGGATTTATAAACAAACATTCGTTAACAAAAAGAAACGCTAGTCACAAAGAAAATTAAATTGATTTAATCACACCAACCGCTGACGATAATTGAAGACGCCATGCGCCATTACAATATTGGTGCAAATGTACTCAAGAGTGTACTCGTACTTGAACAGTCTAACGAATAGGTATTATAAATATGTGAGTTTAATAAGGACATACCCATAGATGCAACTGTTGTTTAAATACCTCTAGAAATAGTAAAATACATAGTTATTTTTGTCTTGTCCATAAATGTACACTTTTATTTTAAGTTTCTATTAAGTCGTCGTTTTGTTATTCAGTTTTCATTGTCAAATACATGTACCTATCAGTATCTGTAGTTACCTACCCAGTTACTTCATCTCTTTTGTTCCCATCATGCCAGTCATGAACAAAATTATTCATCCATGTCCGAACATGTCCATAAATCTGTAAACAATTGATTCTGTCTCTCATGTGATGTAAAACTATGAATCAACATTTTGACGGACAACTAGAAGTCTCAATACTTTCAATTGTTTCTAGATTAGTTACGATTGCAATAATAGACTCTAAAACTAAATATCTAATTTTGTAACTTCAACTTAAGTCTGTAACAATAAGGTTGAAATTCAGTCATTTATTGGCATTCCAACAAGTGTGATTGTGTCGCAATCATTTGCATACTTCGCTATCTCGTTCCGCGCAGTAATGGATGGTTAATCGGTTGTGACATAATGCTAGTGTTTAACGTTGACATAACACGGTGATTTAAATTTAAAAGCAATGGTCAAATTGTCCCTGAACCATGAATCCACAAATTAACTTTATTTGAGATCGCCGCCCACACTTTGGTTAGCAGGAAGGTATAATAATAGGCATGATTATCATTATTTCAATGCTCATGCGCTACTGTAGATAATACACTGGAAATGTACTGAGTGAATTTATAAAAAACTTTGAATAATACAAACAAAAAACTGTTAATAACTCACTAAAACCCAACGAATAAGTTAGCTAATGCTACGGTGATTAAATTTAATTGAATAAATTCTAAAAAAATGTGAATTCTATTTTGAATGTACAGTTTGGTACTAATGGACTTACTAGGGAAGAGTTTAATGACAAAGGAAAATAAACCCTAAAGAACTTCTTAGTTTAGGTACCTAATGAAAAATCCCATTAATGAGCACCATCGATGTTCAAGGTTGTTTAAAGTGGCAATTAATACCTAGGCGATGATTAATTTCATACTGAGACATAGCACGTGTCATACAAGGCATGTCTTACAAACCTATTAAAACTATAGTCGGTTAATTAACAGACGACAACGTATTCTATTGTCGCTAGTTAAAAGAACATGATTTCTAAAAGAATATTGTATGTAGTAAGTAACAATGGTGTCTGGAAAAATCCGAGGAAACGTTTTTAGGTATTAACTGTTGTTTTATTAGGTACTTATAACTGTATTTTCTTACTCATACAAAAATAATAGTGACAAGCAGTAATTTATTTTCGGTAAAAACCTAATATAAAAATGTGTATACACAAAAAAATGTTCTCGAGCATCTATGAAGTATCTATAGTACAATCAATGTATTTGCCAAATTTTACACGGAAAGTCTAATACTTAATTGTCTGACGCAACTTTATAAAAACAATAGTCGTATCTAATAACAACTTGTCTGACCCAATCACTGAGAT